TCTCTGATGTTAATACAGAGTTTGGATTCTGTGTTTATCCTCTACCAGGCAGGGTTATTTATTTATTTTTTTTTAAATGTTTTTATTTATTTCTGAGAGACAGACAGACAGACAGTGTGAGCAGGGGAGGGTCAGAGAGAGAGGGAGACACAGAATCTGAAACAGGCTTCAGGCTCTGAGCTGCCTGTCAGCACAGAGCCCTACACAGGGCTCGAACCCACAAACCGTGAAATCATGACCTGAGCCGAAGTTGAATGCTTAACCGACTGAGCCACCCAGGCACCCCAGGCAAGGGCTATTTAAAAATTAATTGTTAGCTTTCAAAAGTCCAAGCGAACAGAAAGCAAAAAGGCAAAATTAAGATCATTAAACAAAAATCTCTGACAGTGTTCCAGTATGGTTGCCTAGTGCTATCACTATCATTTGGTGATCACAGCTTGCTTGAGATGAATTTATGATGTTTGTTAAATTAAATCGAATATACCTTTTTTATTATACTTGTTCTTCTAAGCTGTCTATACCTATATCTTACTAAAAGGTTATTAAAGTAAAAAGAAAAGCAAATGAAGATAATAAAAGTTTCTTTCTGCACATCTAACCTCCTCCAGCCATGTTGGATGAAGGCTATGTTTAGTTAAACCTCAAATTGGTCATTTTCATAAACTGCTAAAAAAATAGATTTCTCTTGGCGTTTCCATGGGTCATTCACCAAGCAATAATACCATCAGGGGTAACTGATCCCCTGGGGATAGGAGCTTAATTACACAGAAATTTTAAATTGAGAATCGTGGTGTAAGTGCAGACATAGAAACTGTCCTGTCTTTGGGTGGTTTATTATTAAATTTAATACCCCACATGGTCTCTTTTATTTTTGTAGATTTTAATTACTAAGTGGGTCTGGTAAAATATGAATTATTGTATTATCACAAGTGATAAAATGCATATGATTATGAGCATTGCAGTCTGCAGGTGTAACATACATAAAACAAGATTAATAGTATCAAGCAATTAAACTGAAGCTATCTTTAAGGGGAAAAGAAAGCCTTAATGCTACCCTTAAATGTAAGTTAAACTTGCGCTAAATATTTTTAACTGCAATAAAAGCATGTTAATTTTAGGAGTGACTTCTTTATAAGACCTCATTTCTTCGAGTAAGTTTTCCTTTCTAAGAATACAAAAGCTTACTGAAATAATTTCTGTTGGTAACTCATTCCATAAAGAACGGAATTTTTCTTTGGCTTTTAAGCTCAATGAAGAAAGCCCAAAATAGCACAGGAAATTTTGTGTGTGGTGAATATATGTATGAACTAAATCCAGTAGGGATTAAAATGATTAAATTATTGATAAGGTCATTGTTGGTCCCAAAGCATTCCATTAGTCATACAGTACTACTTAAATATTTTGAGAATTTGGCTTTAATTTTTCTATAATTGCATATAAAATAGGGGAAACTGGGTTTTGCTTTAATTTTATATCTTGCATGTACAACTTACTAGCAGTCTTATATAAAAGGAACATGCCAGGGATCTAATAATAAATTCTTTTCCTTATGTGTTTCTGTTTTTTTTTTCCACTTCCTGAATTATTTTTATGCCTCCACTAACAAGATCACTGCCTGTACTTTCAATTTAGCTATACCTTTGCCTCTCAGTAGCATGATAGGTGGCTTTATAGTGAGTTTATCAAGACCTTGGTAAACACATAGAGCACTTAGCAAAGTGTACAGAGCTCTTTACAAAGAACTTTCTGGATCTCTCTCTCTCTCTCTCTCTCTCTCTCTCTCACACACACACACACACACACACACACACACACACACAATTTGGTCTATCTCTGTCTTTGTCTCTCTCACTCACTCACTCACACACACGATTTGGTCCTTGCCCTGGAATTATTTAGCAGTGTGCTTGGCAAGGTGAAACTTCAAAAATAAAGCACTGTGAAACATTTATAAAGCAGAACACCACAGATTACACGTTGAATCTAAAAGCATTGAAGACTTATATTCTGTGCAGTTTAGATGATATGTTTTATTCATTGTAGATAATGAGATATTTACAGCTGTCCCTCCTGACAGTGCCACAGCCGAGATGGTTGCATGTAGGTATGAGTGGGGTCATCGTTGAAGCTAAGTTAACACAACCCAATTAAGCAGGAAAGATGCATGAGAAGTTTGAGCAGTAACTGGGCATTTTGTTATAGGAATAATAGGAAAATATATGTGATTTCTTTAAAAAGAGAGGCTAAGTGTTGGGGGGTTTTTTCTGTTTGTTTTGTTTTGTTTTGTTTTGTTTTTGCTCTTGAAGCACCATCTGTGGTGAAACTAACAATGTGACTGTCCATAAGAAAAAGAGAGGACTTTGAGCTTTAAGCAAGGGGCAAAAAGATAGTATTACATTCTGTGTGGTATCTATTAACTTTCCTCAGTTTTTTTCTTTTTTGCTAAGTGATGTCTATTATAGCATGATAGATGATGTCAGCTTTTTTCAACAGTCGTTTTGCTTTTAATGGGAGATAGCAGGAAAAACACACAGAATAAGAAGGCTAGCCAAAAGTAATGTCTTTCGGGATGTACCAACCATAGCTATTAAATGGGCTTTCTCAAATAAGGAAAGTATTAAAATGACCTCCGTGAATGAAAGAAGCGAGTTCAAGTCAGAGTACAATTTTATAGGTGTAATTCTTTTCTATTTTTTAAAATTATTTTATTAGAATTTAGCTGACACACATTGCATTAGCTTCGGGTACACAATATAGTGATTGGACAAGTTTATACATTATACTTATGCTCACCTCAAGTGTAGCTACTACCATCATTTAGGTGTGATTCTTGAATTTCATACTGATATCTAGATTTGACCCAGGAAGGGTCAGTTAAATGTCAGAATTTTATGTTTTGAAAATGCCAAATTTTGCCTATCCATTAAACCAAGACAATTTTTATTTATTTTTATTTTTCAGCTTTATTGAAGTATAATTTGGCAAATAAAACTATAAGATATTTAAAGTATACATTGTAACCATTTGTTGTATGTGTGCATTGTGAAATGGTTTTTCCCATCTTGTTAATCAACACATCCATCATCTCACATACTTTATTGATTAATTGATTCATTCATTCGTTCATCTATTTTTGGTGAGGATATTTTAGTTCTCTTGGCAAATTTTGATTGTGCAAAACAGTGTTATCAACTACAGTCAGCATGTTACACTTTAGATCTTTATCAGCTTTTTTCATTGAAGTTTTCTTCCAGCTGTATTGGCTGAATAAATGACCACATTCTAACTGTTCTACTCATTTAATAATACATATATAATTATCAGTTTAAAGATCCTGTTTTTAAACAGGTCCCTAAAATGGTTGAATCCAGGTACTTTTTGATTTGCTCGTTCTCTGGTTCTCCTGATATTCCTTGAAGGACTCACTGATTCTTTGTCATTTCAAGAAGAGCAACCTATTTAATTTGGAGATATTTTTGTACTTCTTAAAACAGCAAATATTGGCATTTGTAATTTGAAAGAATTAGAAGTGTGTAGAGAAGTAAGGTTTTTCCCACAGCCATATAACTACAAACAGTATTAGACCAAAAAATATTTCTATTTTAGACACCTCTCATATTAGCAGTGGAGTGAGAGTTAAAAGGTAAAAATTGTAAAGGATACTGTTACACTTTTAAAAAGATAAATGTTACTTAGGATTAAATCTTTTTCCTGAAAAACTGAGTATCGTAATTTAAGATGTAATTGTAAATACAATTTAATCTGTTGATTAATTTGATAATATGAATGAAACTTAAGTATTTGATCATATGGTTCCTAATAACTGTGATATGTATGTGTGATTATACTCTTTATTGTCAAAACTTTGATTCATTCCTAAATATGAAGAAAATATTTGAAATTTTTGGCGGAGAGGGCTCATTTTAACCCTACAGATGATTACATTTGGTTTCTAATTTTGCAAAGAGGTAATCTCCTTTAACTAATTTTTGAAGAATTTCCTCTATTCTGTACTATTTGGTATACTCGAAATTTGGAATTTTTGGTTCTTTGTTATGTGCCAAAACCACACAGAATTCTAGCTGAAAATCCTGGAGAAGGTCTTATGTAAGGAAATTGTAACCGCGTTACGTAAAATTAGGAGTAAATGGATAAAAGCATATCAGAGTGAATTATTTTAATTTTCTTGTAAGAATTACTTATGAATAGCTTATAGGCATTTACTGAAAGGTTAAAGTATAACTGTTTATGACATATAATTATACACAGACCTTGTTGAGTATTCCTGTAAGCCGATTATGTCTACTTATAGCATGGATGTCCCATTTTCCTGGCCATAGGAATGACTGTGTATTTTAAAACACTCCTAAAAAGATAACCTCACTGGTAAGGTATATCTATTCTAAAGTTAAAAATAAAGTATCACTATTTGTTTCATTTAAAATAACTACCTACACTTGACCAAAAAAAGGATACCTATTTTTTCCCACATTTAATTTTAAAGTGACTATTTCAAAGAGTGAAATGTGAGAATGCAGTTTTCTGTTTAGCTATAGTTATTTTGTTGTACGATCATTTGCAAAAGTCCAGTGAACAACAACAAATCAGGAGTGTTTATAAAATTTTGGAAACTTCTGTTTTTTAATCCTAACCTTGCATATGATGTGACTGTCAGACCAGTGTGCATTCATTGTCTTCTTTGCATTTTGAGTTTGGGGTTTCTATTAAATATGAAAAATGTCTGCCCTTTTCAAGTATCCTGATAGTGTTTTCTACATAGAGGAATAAACTTTAACGATTGTGGCCCAGTTATAAAATGACAAAATTCATCTGAAAGCTTAAAACTTGGATTTTACTGTATTATATTTTCAGTATGTAATATTTGCTCAGTGTGATCAATTAAAAAATATAGTTTTTTCACGGTTATAGTAGAAAATGACTCCTCTTCGTATTGCTCTCAGAAGTACTGTTTTCTGAATTTTGGTTTTGTTTCTCTCCAGACGGTGGGTCCGGCTACTATTTGGACGAGAGTTCCCCCTGCAGGATCTTCTGGTGGTCTGGGACGCCTTGTTTGCAGATGGCCTTAGCCTGAGTTTAGTTGACTATATCTTCATAGCCATGTTACTCTACATCCGAGATGCTTGTAAGTGTTAATGATCTTGCCTACATTCAAGTAGGTGGTCTGGAGTTTTGAAATGTGTTTTATCTCTTAAACATGTTTTAGCTTTTATTCTGAATTACCATACCTAGCTTTTTATAGTAGGTAATATACTGAAGTTTCAAAGGAGCATACTAAATATCTTTTTGTTAGTTAACTATGTACATATTGGGAGATGTGGGTGATTTTATCCTGAGAGAATTGGAATATTCTTCAGAACTATTTTTCCAAAGACTTCACTCCTGCTTTAATCTCCTCATTATACACATTTGTGAAAAGCACGTAGAAAAAGCCAGTATTTCAGATATGTTTAGAGCTCCACCTTCTGACAGGTAGGGAGTATTCAAAGATATTATCAGGCAATTGGAGCTATTTTTATAGTGTCAACAACTTGCCAATAAAAAATAAATATTACATTTAAAGATATTTTAACTTTTTCTCAGTTATATTATGGCCAAACGCATTTCTCATTAGATTGCCAAATGGTAGACGTATTCCTATCTCATCAGATCCACCTTAGGACGTTTGCCATAGCTGGAAAGCCAGTGCCTATCTGTTGTGAGTAGTCTTGTAATCTTCAGCTTGAAGAAAATATCAGAGCATGTTTTAAATCTCGAAATACCTCAGATTGTTTTCCTTCTAAGAAAAATAAATCACCGTTCACAAAACAAGATTTGTAAGCCAAAGTGTAATTAGGAAAGATTGCACAACGTGATGATTAAATAGGAAATAAAAAAACTATCATCAGAGTAGGACTTTGTCAGTAGAACATAAACTATTCGGCGTCCTTCGTAATCTTGACTGTTACACGGCTCTGTGGCTCTCTGTGTTTGTTCATTGAATACCAGTTGCGCCAGATGCTCTTGCTATGCCTCTGGTAACGCTAATAACATTCTTTAAAATTTTAGTTTATACTCTTTTAATTCCCCCAAAATTACTTGAATGAATAAGTGACAGGAGCACCACATTTTATCCAAAAATTGTGATTTTTTTTTCTGCCCTGAAGGTCAGATACTTTGGGTTTTGACAGACAAAGTAGAAAGTTCCTTCTTTCTGAGTCAGAGCTAATCATATAAGAACATGGAAATTATAAGAGCTAACATCTGGAAAGTAGAGAAAGAGGTTTGGGTAGATTTGATGGATACTAGATTTTAGGATATTCAATATTGCTCTCTCATTTTAACATAGTATATTTTTTTAATGTAATTAAAAAGACGAAAGGAATGAGTTCCCTCTTTTAGAAAAATGGTTTGGGATATTTTCACAAAATTTTCCAGTTCAAACAATCATGGAAATATATTCTGATTTTCTGTAGTCTTAAACAATTAAGTATTTGCTTTTTTTTTAATTACAACAATTTTTAATGTTTTTATTTATTTCAGAGAGAGAGAGCATGAACAGGGGAGGGGCAGAGAGAGAGGGAGACACAGAATCTGAAACAGGCTTGAGGCTCTGAGCTAGCTGTCAGCACAGAGCCTGACATGGGGCTGGAACCCTTGAACCGTGAGATTACAACCTGAGCCGAAGTTGGACGCTTAACTGACTGAGCCACCAAGGCGCCCCAAAGTATTTGCTCTTTTCTTAACTTTGGTATATCACAACTATATATTTTGTAATTTAATCATCCTGTCTCGTCTGCTAAGATCTACATTTTGAAATCAATTTCATAAAACAGGCAAATTTTTGGCAGTTGAAGCCCTTACACACTTTCAGTTCATCTACTGATGTTATAAAATGTATGGGCACATGTGGGAAAATCCAGGGATAATTAAGTCATTTATTCCTTTCAGTATTTAGGCGAGTTTATTTTAATTTGCCTTTTAAAATCCGTAACAGTGGATGAGATCTCCTAAAAATAGGGTGACTATTAAGTTTTAGGGTCACTGCCCTTATGCTCAAGAAGTCTGTCAACTAGTAGGAAAGACTGGCATAATTAATTTCAAACTACCATACCCAGTGCTGTGGTTGAGGTATGGATAGGCAATATGTAAGTTTAAAGGAGAAGCACTGAAATCTCCTCTGGGTCCGCTGTGAGTGACTAGAGAAAATGGTGTAGGTGTTGGCAAGTTAAATAAAGGGATCTGAATTTCAGGTGGAAGGAATAGCCATTTGCTATTAGAGTGCAAAGTGAGACCGACAGGTTATGAGACCAAAGAAATGAACAGGGAGGGATAGGGTTGTGATGAAAGTCTTTATCCCGCAAATAATAGGGGCCCCTGAAGGGTTCAGAGCAGAAGTATTGTCATTGTTAGATGACTCTGATGGCACTGTGGAGAATAGATGCAAAGGAAACAAGAAAGAGTAAAGCAGAGCAATCCAGATAAAAGGTTATGACAGTTATTCAGGGGAAAACTGTAGATTGGAGAAATCTTCAAAATTAAATCAGCATGTCTTGGTGACTAAATATGGGTGAGGAAGAACAGGAAGTCTAAAACAGTCCCCAGCTTGGGGAGTTGAGTGACTAGGTAAAATGTGTAACTTGGATAGGAAACAAGGATTAGCATGTTTTAGGAATGGAAATTATTATGTTTTGGCCCTACTGAATGTGGGATCTGTGAGAAATAATAACCTGAAGATTTGGAAAGTAAAGTTCAATGTCAATATTAAGGCTACAGATTTAGTTTTACAAATGTATAATAGGTATGTGTTAGTTAGAACCATAATACTGGATGTGACCTCATAAGAATAGGGTGACCATATATCCCGATTGCTTGGGACAGTCTTGGTTTAGCCTGCTAATCAAGAGTAATGTTCCTAACCTGGCCTCTTGCATTCTCAAAGACCTCCTGTAAGGATCATCAGATTACTTGGTCAGCCTACCTGAGATAGGTGCTTATAGAAGGAGAAGATAGACAAAGGTGGAACTCTGCATTTAACAGCAGTGTTTAAGGCACCAGAGAAGAAAGGGTATGTGTTGTAACCTCACAAAGCTGTGTTATCAGAGCCAAGGGAAGTACTGGGGGTTGAGAGTGCTGAGGTGCGGTAAGGTAAGGGGGAAATGGCCATGAACTTGGCCCAAGTGGTTTAGTGGAGTGGTAAAGCAGAGGCTGGATTGTGATGGGTTGAAGAGTAACTAGACAGTTGAAAAGTATAATAGCTTTCTCTATAGTTTTGTTATTGTTCCTGTTGCTTTCTATATGTATTACAGTTTCAGCTTAAAAAATCAATTCAGTAAAAAGGAAAGAATGTAGAGATAGCACATGTAGAGCAATCTTCAAAGACAGCAGAGCAGGGATGAAGAAAGATGTACTAGGGGTTAGTGTAGGGACAAGGAGAGTTGCATGGCTATCTTTAGAATGCTCATTGGAGGCTGGGGGGAACCAGTTGAGGGTTTACTTCTCAACCAGTCTTAAGTTGGCCCCTCAAGGATCAGCACTAGTTTTTCCCCATTTCATTGATGAGATCTATGAAAAGGTAAATTATTCTGTTTACTTGAAGTTTTTGTTTCTTCATAGCCACTCCCCTGTCCCCAACAAGAGACCATAGTTTTTCTGTCTTGGTTTCCCTACCATACCCCAGCATCTAGAATGGGGCCTGGTATATAGTAATCTTGATGAATATCTTTTGTGTGAAATAATTGAAGAAACAAGGGCCTAGAGGCAATGGAGTGAGGTGAGGAGTCCTACGGAAGAGGAATAAAAGTTGATGCAGGTCCTGGCTGCAGGCACTAGGCAGGTTTCAGAAGTAGACTAGTTGATAGGTGGAGAAGATGGGAAGTGGAAGAATTGTATGTCTGATACAGGAGGAGGCAAGGTTGTCTGCTGTGAGTGAGGCGTGGTAAGGTTAGGGAGCTTAGAGGATTCCTGGGAAGTCTGGGAGAGATGGCCGACCATGGGCTAGGACCAGCTGGTCTAGCTGTTAAAGATCCTATCCTGCAGAGACTCACAGTGGGCAACAGAACCAGGCCTCAAGGTTAGGATTTTCTGAGCCACACACTGCAGTCAAGGCATACAGGAGCAGGAGATCATGATCTCGGTTCCAAGCTAGGCCCACGTCCAAATGAATTAGGCAGAACTGAAGGGAAGCAAAAGGATGGAGAGGGTGTTGAGTACAGTTTTAAGAGAGTGGTTGCTGGTTCCTGGGTGGCTCAGTCAGTTAAGCGTCTGACTTCAGCTCAGGTCACTATATCATGGTTCGCGGATTTGAGCCCCGCATCGGGCTCTGTGCTGACAGCCAGCTCAGAGCCTGGAGCCTGCTTCAGATTCTATGTCTCCCTCTCTCTCTGACCCTCCCCTGCTCACGCTCTCTCTCTCTCTCTCTCTCTCTCTCTCGCTCTCGCTCTCGCTCTCGCTCTCGCTCTCTCTCAGAAATAAATAAAACATTAAGAAAAAATTTTAAAAAAGAGTGGTTTGGAATATGTAGGGAGGGAAGCATGGCCAGGAAGAGACTATGGGGAAATCAGAGTATGAAGGGATTCAGGGTAGAGACTTAGAAGCATCACAGGTGTGGTCAAATGAGATTGGATCTGAGAGCCCTGCTTCGTTCATTTTCTGCCCCAGCAGTGTTCTGCCAGCATCTCATACTTAGTTTTTAACAAAAGTATTCCTATCATTTTCTTTCAGTACTTTGAACAAAGCTTTCATTCACTTTAAAAGTAGTTTGTCAGGCAAGCATAGTATTCAACCACTTAATAGATTTCCTATCAACATCGCATTCTTTACAAGGCTTCAAAAATTCAGCCCAACACCCATGGTTAGAAGTTAGGAAGCCAGATCAAGACCATAGGGCTAGTACAGGCCGGTTCTCACATCACTTTTTCTGTTCCTCAAGCCCTATCTTAATTTTATTAAGTACTAATAAAATTTCATACTGGGAAAAATAACAGTATGAATATTATATAGATTTTAAAATTTAATCATTGAAATGATAGCGTCAGATGGCTGTTCTTTGAATGAAACTTTTGCTTTTCTGGAGGGAGATACATGGCACCATTTCTGAATAATCCCTAACATTTTAATCAAACCATAACATGCTTACTTTTTTTT